GGGTCTCCCATGGAGTGGCAGGGATACAAGCACATGCTATCAGCTGCTCTCTCCAGGGTGCACATAAGCAGGACACTAGATTGGAAACTGAGGTGCAACGTGACCCCTGCCTCTCCAACATAGTGTAGGCATTCCAAGCATGGCTCAACCCCTGTACCTGCCTCCTCCATGAACTTTCTGAAGTTCCCTTGTACAATTCTCTCCCTCTTTTTCTGTGAAAATCAAGAAAATCTGGTATTTTATATGTATGTCATGCAGGTCTGTACTGTTTTGGTTTTTCTTCTTGTGTTCTTGAAAAATAAAATTCAAGTTGTCCGTGACCTATGGAGGACATTCAGCTGACACTTATTTGGTGAAGGACAGTGCAGAGAATAATCGTGGGATTTATGAAGTAGTAAGAGCACCACAGACTTTAGGGCACAACTGAGAAAGGACTTGCATGTGGTATGTTGACACTTGCCAAGAAATAGAATTGTTGCCTTATGCTGTAGCTTATTTCATGAGTTAGTGAACTTTTCTTGTCAGTTTTAAGACCCTAAAATATTATCATACCAACCAAATATTGAGAGAGTTTATGACAGAATTGATTACTTTTCTGAGAGATGGGCATTCGGCCTAGCAGTTTGCTGTGTCTGTACCACATGGTGAGTGCCTGGGCTTGAGTCTCACCTCTGCTCCAGGCTTCAGCTTCCTGTTAATGTGAACCCTGGGAGACAGGAGGTAATTGATCAAGTAGGTCTCTGCCACCCATATGAGAGGTTGATTGAGTTCCTGGCTCCCAGTTTCATTGTGGCCCAGCGTCAGCCATTGCAAGCATTTGGGGAGTGAATCAACAGATGGGAGTATTCTCTGTCCATCTGTCTGTCTCTCTCAAATAAATTGTAAAAATACATTTTTGGGGGAAAATTAATGTTTTTGTAGTGCTCATTTAATTCTCTGAAATAGATGTTATCTTAATTTTAAAGAGGATACAAAATGCAGTAATATCCAAGATCATGCAAAAAACTATAATATTTTTATGTTTTATTTTATTTATTTATTTGAGAGGCAGTGAACCAGGTAGCAAGTGAGCTCCAATCTGCTGATTCATTCACCAAATGCCCACAATGGATGAGGCTGGACAGGGGCAGAGCCAGGAGCTGGGAGTGCAGTCTCGGTCTCCCAGAGTGTGGCAGGAAACCGATCACCTGAAACATGTTGCTGTGTCCTGGGGTCTGCATTATTTAAGAAGCTGGAGTCAGGAGTTGTAGATGGGATTGAACCCAGGTATCCAGTGGGATTTGGGCACGTTAACCTCTAAACCAAACCACCACTCTTAAACATATTTCTTAATTCTTAATGTTTAGTGTATTAAAAGACATTGATATGGAGATACTGGTGCTGGCCCTTTGTTCTAAATCCTGCACTCTATTACATACACTACACCTTCTCCCTCCACCCCCCTCCCCTTTTCCAGTGATTGGAAATATGTTGTTTCTTGGGTTAAAGGAAACAAATTAGGTCTCAACCATTATTAATTCAGAAGAAAAAATCCTTTGACATATGTGAAAACGTTGACTCATTGTCCTTGGAATAACAGTGGATTTTATAGACTCCAGAGAGTTCTGACAAGCTCAAATGCTGTCATTAACATTTATCTTTTTTAAAACAAATTTTTTTTCTTTACTTGAAAGAGTTACAGAGTGAGAGTAAGAGGGAGAGATTAATCAATTGATCTTCCATCTGCTGGTTTGCTTCATAGATGGCCGCAATGGCCAGGGTTGGGCCATGCTGAAGCCAGGAGCCAGAGCTTCATCTGGGTCTCCCACATGGGTAGCAGGGCCCAAGTACTTGGGCCATCTTCTGCTTTTCCTAGGTTATTAGCAAGGAATTGTATTGGAAATAGAGCATCTGGGACTCGAACCATCCCTCATATGGGATGCCAGTGTCACAGGTGTCAGCTTTACCCACTACGCCTCAGTACTGGCCTCTAACATTTATCTGTATATGACTCTTTTGTCATTTGTAAATTCTAGGATTTTAAAATTATTTATTAGGAAATAATTCATACATTCAGAGTAATACAATATGTATATAAACAGAATAAAATAAACTACTCTATAGATAAAGTTAGAGAAATTTCCAGGGACTTCTAAAGATTTCACTCATCCCACCCTCCACCCCCAAAAAGGTAGTGAGGATATTAAATTTTTATATTATTTTAAAGGATCTTAACGCTCATGTCTTTCCTTTGGGAATTGAAATCTTTTAAATATTGTGGCTAAATCTCATTTTTTTTTTTTTTTTGAGAAGTACAGTTACAGACAGTGAGAGGGAGAAACAGAAAGAAAGGTCTTCCGTCTGTTGGTTCATGCCCCAGTGGCTGCATCCATTGGAGCTGAGCCTATCTGAAGTCAGGAGCCAGGAGCTTCTTCCTGGTTTCCCACGTGGGGGCAGAGGCCCAAAGAGCTGGGCCATCCTCCGCTGCTTTCCCAGGCCACAGCAGAGAGCTGGGCTGAAGAGGAACAGCTGGGACTAGAACCAGCACCCATATGGGATGCCTGCGCTGCAGGCAGAGGATTAACCTACTGCGCCACAGCACCAGCCCCTAAATCTTATCTTGCTTGGAGAAATTGTTATATAAATAGTTCTTGAAAATTATATTTTGATTTACTTTGGATAAAATAAAAGGCTTTTGTTGATATAGGAATTACTAAAAGCCATTTCGTTTTGAATTTTTAAATTAGAAAAATGTGTTAGTTTTTGAGAAGGAAATATTGAAGAAGAGGAAAAGGATTTCATGTGAATCCAGGAAGCAAACTCATTGTAGTTTTTCATTATGGAAAAAGGAACAAAGAGGATCTGAGAACTAGCCCTTTCTTAAATTATTCTGGGCAGAATTGGTAGCTGAAAGACTGCGTGGAATATGGCTGCAAAGTTCTGCAGCAACACATGTCCAGAGGTGGGAAGGGTACTTTACCTTGGTTTTGGAGGCATGCCCTGCCTCTCCTTGTTACTGCTGAGCCACTGCCATGGGGAATCCGGCTCATGTAATATGACTCTTGGGTCTGTTTTTGTTTGTTTGTTTGTTTTTTGGTAGAGTTTGTGGGGTTTTATATCTTCTAGGAATTTTAATCCTCATAGTTCCCAATTTTAAATTGATGCAGAGTTTTAAACAATGTCTTTGAAATAATGTATTGGGGGGATAGTCATATAGATGTACAAGTACATACAAATGTGCATAAAAATGCCTTACTGCCTTTGACTTGACAATCACTGCATGTAAGGAATACATATTTAAATGATGGTATCTTGGCTGAGATTATAAGCCCTGAAACCAGAGCCAAGTTGAATCCTGGATCTTCTACTAGCTAGCTGGCTCTGCAGTCTCGGATAAGTTATTTAACCTCCCTGTGATGGTTTTCTTATCTATGACGATAAGGAAACATCTGCCTCATTAAGTGGCTGAGAGCATTAAAAATTAGAGAGTACTTAAGGCCACGAGTAAGTGCTCCATGAATGTTTGCTATTATTAAAATCTCGTATTTGCTGGCTTTTGGATAGAAGTATGTTTCTTTGCTTATATTACATTTCTGAATAGGGAGATGTTCCTTCTAGAGCCATGTCTCCTGGTCACGTGGCTATATGCCGTGTGAGCCTTATTAATACCCTGTCAGCATTTGAGGTTGGAACATAAGTGTGTAGCCGTACCCAGTGGAATCCAGCAAGAGAAAGAACTAAGCACCATAGCAACGGTTGCTATTTGTGTCCTGAGCAGCAGTTGCCCGGGACAGATTTATTTTTTAATCCTGATCTCACTGATAGCCTGGGATGTGGCTCTGCTGTTGAGAAGTGGATTGGTTGAGACGGCCAGGCTTTGAGATTTCAGGACCACATGTTACAAAGATTCTGTTCCATGTGAAATGTGAGGAGCTAAAGCTCTGTGTGTGTGAGAAAGGAGGCGATTAAGCTTTGGCACTCACAGTCGGGACCTGAAGTGTGCAGTGTGACTGGATTAATGATGCAAGAAATCACTTTTAAGTTGGGCAGCCAGAGAGGCTTCATGCTTTTTAGTCAAAAAGTAATTTTTGCTGTTTCTAACAGTCTACAGATGATTTTGCAGTTGGTGATCCCATTCAGCAGTAAAGTACATTCATGTATATTATATATATATATACACACACATATACATATATGTGTAATAACTTACATATTTGTTACTTGGTCTGTGGATTTCAGAAATAAGACTATCTTTGCAATGAATGCTTCATTACTAAATGTTTTTCTAAAGTAGATAGTAAGACCTTTAAAAAGACTTGTTTCAAGTAGTGATTAGATTAATTCAGTGATTCTCTTTTATTTCTGATGTATTGAGGTAGTTTAAACCTGATGAGATGCTTTAAAAACGTAATATGGGGCTGGTATTGTGGCATAGCAGGTTAAGCTCCCGGTTGCTCCACTTCTCATCCAGCTCCCTGGGAAAGGAGTGGAGGATGTGGAGCAGTGGAAGATGGCCAAGTGCTTGGGCCCTCACACCTACGTGGGAGAATGGGAAGAAGCTCCAGGCTCCTGGTTTTGCCCTGGCACAGTTCTGGCTGTTATGGCTATTTGGGGAGTGAATCAGTGGATGAAAGATTCTCTCTCTCTGTCTCTGTCTCTGTCTCTGTCTCTCTCTGTCTCTCCCCCCCCATCTCTCTTTCTCTGTAACTCTGCCTTTCAAATAAATTAGAAATAAATCTTTAAAAGAAAATAGTAATACGGCCCATTTCGAAGTTTTTGGCTGTGTAAACGGAGTATTACTAGGTACATACCATCTGCCGCTGGTAATACCCAGTGAATGTTTCTGGTTTGATTTTTTTTTCAAGTCTTAAGAATGCAGTTTTTGCTTTTTGATTGCTTTATTCATATTTAGCAGTAAGAATTTGCTGATTTAGATGTTTTGAGTGTGTAATAGTCTATAATGTTGAATTAAAGAAATAGAAGGAACTTGAGTTAAATAACTAAACATTTTCATCTTCTAGGTATTATTAACCCAAAGAACCCAAAGGAAGCTCCAAAATCCTTCAGCTTCGACTACTCCTACTGGTCTCACACCTCGGTGAGTGCCCTAGCGTTGGAGTGTGCTGGCTGTATACCCAGTGCCATTATGTTTCTCCATTTGTCTTTTCTCCAAGCCAGAGCAGGCCCAGGTCTTGTTTTATGAGTATGGTCTGGCATGAGTGTATTTTTTATAGAGTGAATACTATCTGAAGAAGAAGGTATTTTCCTTAATATAGTATTTTGGCTGATAGAAAGTTTATGAATAATGCATACACAGATATAAAACTGATATAGTTTTTGCTAGATTTATACTGATTTGGACATCCCTTGAGGATGTATTTGTTAGTATCTTAGGATTCTCATTATGTATATTATTGTGCCAAAATAAAGATGGCTAAGTGTGTTATTAATTTTGAATTAAATTTTGAGTAACTGGCTACAAAATTGGAGTGGCCATATGAAAAACTTTTTTTTTCTAAATTAAAGTAGGACCACACAGGTTTTGAACATTTTGAAGGGACCTGTAAGCCCACAACACAAACAAAAGATGCCCAAGCATCTAGGAAGATGGAGAGTGGGGCAGGCTGGGACCACAGAGAAGAAAGCCTCTCTGACGCCCGCCGTTGTTTCTCAGCAAGGACTTGCTTCTGTTAGCAGCCATGTCTGTTCCGTGGGCTTCTGTTTCTGGTTTGCATATATTACATTTCTGAATAGGGAGATGTTCTTTCTAGACCCATGTCCCTAGATGAGGGATGTTTTAAACAACGAAGTCGTACTGTCAAGGAAAGAACCTGCAAGCTATGTTTGTCGGGAGGTAGCCACACTCGCTGGAGTGAGTTCAGCAAAACGTTTTTGTATGTGACTTGATCTTTGATCTGTTTTTCTCATTTTTCACTTAAGAAAATCTTGGAGTTCCCTGTGAATGGAAGGAGAGATACATTAAGGCCATGGAAGCTAAAATGTAGTTTTGCCAGATAAATTAGTGTGGATATTTCTATATATGGCTGACCTGGATAATTCAAATAGTGTGTGTGTTTAATGAGAGGAAGAAACTAGGTATAGGGGGAACTTTAAAAACGTATAGTGTATTTGAAGTGACTGTTCTTATTCTAAACACTTGTTTATTATGAAAGTAATAACAGTATAGGAAAGAATATGAATAAGATGTGATTTATTTCTCTTTTTAATCTTGACAGCCTGAGGACCCCTGTTTTGCATCTCAGAATCGTGTGTACAATGACATTGGGAAGGAAATGCTCTTACATGCCTTTGAGGGCTACAATGTCTGTATTTTTGCCTATGGACAGACTGGTGCTGGGAAATCTTATACAATGATGGGTAAACAAGAAGAAAGCCAAGCTGGCATCATTCCACAGGTAAGAATAAAACAGCAGGACATGTGTGCATCATTACTCCGAATCTTAACTTGTTTTAACAATTTATTTTGACAAACATTTATTTAGGGACCATCATATGCAAGGAACGAAGATAAACAACCTGTTGTTCCTTTCCCTTAGAGGAACTTAGAGTTGAGTGGAAGAGTAGACATGTCTGCCCGTGCCTTTGAAGGTGGGAAGCTTAGTGCTTTGTGAAGATTCTGCTGTGTACCCAGTGCCATTATGTTTCATATTTGGAGAAGTGGTTCCAGCTTCTCAAAGCTCTGTTCTGAATCTGGGGGACACTCACTAAGTGTTGGTGATTTGGTTTTCTTCAAGTCCCATTTATAGATCACCTCTAAAGAATTATATAATTATTTTTGTTTTTTTTTTTTTTTGAAGAAATTTATATATATATTTATTTGAAAGGCAGAATAGAGTGACAGGGAGAGAGGGAGATCTAGAGACAGACATATCTTCCATCTACTGGTTCACTCCCTAAATGGCTGCACCAGTCATGGCTGGGCCAGGAAAAGGCAGGAGCAAGGAACTCCATACTGGTCTCCCACATGGGTGGCAGGGGCCCAAGTGCTGGGGCTAACTTCTGCCCCCTTCCCAGGAGCATTAGCAAGAAACTGGATTGGAAGCTGAGTAGCCAGGTCTTGAACCTGCATTCCAGTATGAGATGCCAGTGTTGCCGGCTGCAGCGTAACCCACTGCTGTAATGTTGGCCCTTTAATTTATTCTTTATTTCATTAAATACTATCACTTTAAACTTTCAGTCGTCTGAGATTTCTTTTTCTGAAATAAATTAGTATTGCTTCTTTAAATCTTTTATTGTTTGGGAATGGAGAAGAGTTCTGATATTTAGAAATGACTCCTTTTTAAAATAAAAGGACTGGGGTTTGCTTTTATTAATGATATTTGGGGTTAATTTTCAAGTGTTATTTTATGATATACCTAATGACATTTCTGTATTCTGAAAATATAAGGATTATAATTGTAAATTCAGCTATTAGTAAAAATGCTCAATTAATAATAAAGATTAGGAATTTTTGAGAAAAAAATTGAATATATGTATTTTTCTTTTATTAAAAATTTTATAAAGATTTATTTTATTGAATTGAAAGAATTATAGAGAAAGGTAGAGATAGAGAGAGAGGTCTTCCATCCGCTGTTCACTCCCCAAATGGCCACAATGGCTGGAGCTGCGCTGATCTGAAGCCAGGAGCCAGGAGCTTCCTCCTGGTCTCCCACGCTGGTGCAGGGGCCCAAGGACTTGGGCACTTGGGCCATCTTCTACTGCTTTCCCAGGCCACAGCAGAGAGCTGGACTGGAAGAGGAGCAGCCGGGACTAGAACCAGCACCCATATGGGATGCCAGTGCTTCGGGCCAGAGCGTTAACCCACTGCGCCACAGCACCGGCCCCTAAAAATATGTATTAAGATGGAAATGTCATAGGCTAATCCTCCATCTTGCGACGCCGGCACACCAGGTTCTAGTCCCGGTCGGGGCACCGGATTCTGTCCCGGTTGCCCTCTTCCAGGCCAGCTCTCTGCTGTGGCCTGGGAGTGCAGTGGAGGATGGCCCAAGTGCTTGGGCCCTGCACCCCATGGGAGACCAGGAGAAGCGCCTGGCTCCTGCCATCGGATCAGTGCGGTGCGCCGGCCGCAGCTCGCCAGCCATGGTGGCCATTGGAGGGTGAACCAACGGCAAGGGAAGACCTTTCTCTCTGTCTCTCTCTCTCACTGTCCACTCTTCCTGTCAAAAAAAAAAAAAAAAAAAAAAAAAGATGGAAATGTCTTTGTATATAGTAGTAGCAATAATTATTATACTAATCAGAGAAGAGATTATATAGTACTCAGGGGCCCAAGGACTTGGGTCATCTTCTACTGCTTTCCCAGGCCATAGCAGAGAGTGGGAAAGGAAGAGGAGCAGCCGGTACTAGAACTGGCGCCCATATGGGATGCCGGTGCTTCAGGCCAAGGCATTAACCAGCTGCACCACAGCACCAGCCCCATTTTTTCAAATTTCATCCGAAATATTAATTATGCCTTGGAGTTTATGGCTTTTATAATTTGAGAGGGGAGGAGGAGGAAAGGGGTCTTGCTAATTCATTTAGCACGCGTGGATATGTGGAAATTCCTTAATTTGTGCTCTTCATGCCTCTCTTGTTTGCTTCCCTAGTTATGTGAAGAACTGTTTGAGAAAATCAACGACAACTGTAATGAAGAAATGTCTTACTCTGTAGAGGTGAGTGCAGGCCTGGGTTGAAACCAGAGGCCTCTCTATTCCCTTCCCTCACATACTACTTTTAGATGGCTCCAGGTTATGACTGCTACACATCACTTAACTGTTCCCTCAATTTTGTACTGTTGGACTAAGCTTGGATTATAGTGAATATTGTTGTGATTAAGTCTTTGTAAGTTTGTGCCTTTATTTTCAGTTTCTACCTTTGTATGTATCTTGGTTGCTAATGCTTCTGAATTGCCAAATGGCCTTTTTGTAAGGTTCTTTGCTAATTAGATAAAGCAAGATTCCTTTTACGTAAATTTGAATTTCTTTATTTGTGTGGTTGACTATCTTATAAATTATGCATTTGTCTGTTTACTTTTTTTATTCATCTGTGTGAACTCTTCCCCTTTAATATTGTTAATAATGATTTTTTAGAGGCATAGGTTTTTGTTATTTTTTAAAATATTTTTATTTATTTGAAAGTCAGAGTTACACAGAGAGAAGGAGAGGCAGAGAGAGGGCTTCCATCTGCTAGTTCACTCCCCAGTTGGCTGCAATGGCCAGAGCTGCACTGATCTGAAGCCAGGAGCCAGGAGCTTCCTGTTCTCCCATGTGTGTGCAGGGGCCCAAGGACTTGGACCATCCTCCACTGCTTTCCCAGGCCATAGCAGAGAGCTGGATCAGAAGTGGAGCAGCTGGGACTTGAACCTGCGCCCATATGGGATCCGGCACTGCAGGCAACAGCTTTACCTGCTGTGCCACAGAGCCAGCCTGAGGCATAGGTTTTTAAAATATATATGATCAAATCTCTTGCCCCTGTTATAATTGTGTATGAGCTTGGAAAGTTACTCTCCAGCTGGTGTTCACATTGGCCCTTTCAAGAAGAGGTCTGTGGCTTACTTTATACTCATTATGTTTAACAAAACTTCCTCTCGTGTGTGTGCTTCATGAGGCTGGTGTTACACATACACATACCCTTTGTTATTCAGTTTCACATAACTGAAATTATTGGGTGGGTATTTGACTACCAGTTAAGATGCTGTAACCCTTACCAGATTGCCTGGGTTCAATACCTGGCTCTGCTCCTGACTCTAGCTTCCTGCTAACGCAGATCCTGGTAGGCAGCAGTGATGACTTGAGTAATCGGGTTCGTCCAACTGTGTGGGAGGTCTGAATTGAATTTCCAGCTCCCAGCTTTGGACCCTCGCCATTGCATTTTGGAAGTGAACCAGCAGATGGGAACACTCTCTGTTTTATCTCTCTTCGTGTCTCATAAATAATTTTTTTTTTTTTGGACAGGCAGAGTGGACAGTGAGAGAGAGAGAGAGAGAAAGGTCTTCCTTTGCCGTTGGTTCACCCTCCAGTGGCCGCTGTGGCCGGCGCACCGCACTGATCCGAAGGCAGGAGCCAGGTGCTTCTCCTGGTCTCCCATGGGGTGCAGGGCCCAAGCACTTGGGCCATCCTCCACTGCACTCCCTGGCCACAGCAGAGAGCTGGCCTGGAAGAGGGGCAACCAGGACAGAATCCGGTGCCCCGACCGGGACTAGAACCTGGTGTGCTGGCGTCGCAAGGTGGAGGATTAGCCTATTGAGCCATGGCGCCGGCCTCATAAATAATTTTTAAAAATTGTTAAAGTGTTCTACCAATATGGGCCTGTTGTTTCGAGAAATTAAGCTGCCATTCGAGCAAACTGTGGAGGTTTTTTTTTTCTTGGTATGTGCTTGATTTTTTGTAAGACTCACACAATTCCTAATTGATTCACTTAATTTCTTTGATTTTTTTTGACCTGTAATATATTACATAAATTTATAAGTTGTTAAGAATTCTACCTTATGACTATCATACTGCAAAAGGGAATGTGTTACTCTAAGAATATTTGTGCTAAAGTGCATTTTCTGAGGGGCCAGCGCTGTGGCATAGCAGATAAAGCTGCCGCCTGTGGTGCTGGCATCCTATATGGGTGCTGGTTCAAGTCACGGCTGCTTCACTTCCAATCCATCTCTCTGCTGTGGCCTCGGAAAGCAGTGGAAGATGGCCAAGTCCTTGGGCCCCTGCACCCGCATGGGAGACCCAGAGGAATCTCCTGGCTTCGGAGCAGTGTAGCTGCAGCTGTTGTGGCCATCTGGGGAGTGAGCTAGTGGATGGAGGACCTCTCTGCCTCTGCCTCTGCCTCTGCCTCTGCCTCTGCCTCTCTGTAACTCTGCTTTTCAAGCAAATATGTCTTTAAAAAAAAAGAATTTTTTGGCTGGCGCCGCGGCTCACTAGGCTAATCCTCCGCCTAGCGGCGCTGGCACACCGGGTTCTAGTCCCGGTCGGGGCGCCGGATTCTGTCCCGGTTGCCCCTCTTCCAGGCCAGCTCTCTGCTGTGGCCAGGGAGTGCAGTGGAGGATGGCCCAGGTGCTTGGGCCCTGCACTTCATGGGAGACCAGGAAAAGCACCTGGCTCCTGGCTCCTGCCATCGGATCAGCGCGGCGGCCGCGGTGGCCATTGAAGGGTGAACCAACGGCAAAAGGAAGACCTTTCTCTCTGTCTCTCTCTCTCACTGTCCACTCTGCCTGTAAAAAAAAAAAAAAAAAAAAAAAAAAAAAAAAATTTTCTGAATAGCCTGTCTCATCCTGTAACTTGTTTTGAGTCAGATATAGATTCTGATTATAAGTAGTGTAAGAGGACACCGTTTTCCTTCACATTAGTCAGAGTGCACAGGCTTATTTGGAGTTCAGCATAGGTTCCTCATTGATACTTTGATTTTTATCATATTTGTGGGACCTCCCCTATTCCCCCTTTTTTTTTCTTAAAAATTTATTTGAAAGTTAGAGTTACACAGAGAAGAGAAGGAGAGGCAGAGAGAAAGAAAGAGGTCTTCCATCCTCTTGTCCCCCAGTTGGCCACAACTGCCGGAGCTGTGCCGATTAGGAGCCTCCTCCAAGTCTCCCATGTAGGCGCAGGGGCCCAGGGACTTGGGCCATCCTCCACTGCTTTCCCAGGCCATAGCAGAGAACTGGATGGCAAGTGGAGCAGCCAGAACTTGACCCGGCTCCCATATGAGATGCCAGCACTGCAGACGGTGGCTTTACAGGCTATGCCACAGCACTGGCTCCCTCATTCTCTTTTCTACTTATTCTGCTTTTTGCTGTTTCCAAGACACATGAGGTAATTCCTGCATCTGGGCATTTGCAGATTTCCATTCTGTCTTCAGTGTTCCCTGGGTATCTTTCCGACTACTGGTTTCTCACTTCTCAGTGAGGCTTTCCTGAACACCTTACTGAATGTTGTGGCTTTCTTCTACCCCAGTACTCCTTGTCCTGTTGTATTTTCTTTTTTCTATTGTACTCATCATGTTCTAACATTCTTTGTGAGATACCTAATTTTTATGTTTGCTGTTTATTGTCTGTCTCCCTTGCCAGACTCATAAGCAAGCCAGGGCAGGGATTTTGGTTTTAGTTACTGATGTCTGCCAAGCGCCTAGAAGATAATACTTTGCAGCGAATTGGATCTGCCAGGTGGGGGCCTGTAATGGTTTAGAAGTCAAAGAACTAGTGATGACTTTGGATGGATTCACGTAGTAGAGCATGCTAACCTTTACCCAGTTATTTGGGGCCTCTTGGTCTCCAAGATGATATACTGTCTTACTGGGGTTGCAGATTATATGTATAAATTTAGGAATGCAAGATTAATTAAGTGCCATCTCACTTTCCCAGATGATTTGTTCAAAATGGTATTTTTAGTCTTGTTGTTTTACTTTCATGATGGATTAGTGACTTTATCTTTCAGGGTTCTCAATTTTGTAAACTGATTTTTAAGTACAGTATAATGACACAGTGAAGTCAGACTGAAAGGAGAAGGCAATAGAAATGGAGATGTGTTTCCATTGTAGATACTCTGAAAATGTGTCTGTAGAAATTGAACGGTGAAAAATGTATATTGTGTGTTTGATTCAGAAGGGTCCAGTTCCTGAGAGAAGCAGTGTGAGGTGCCCTGCCCTGCGAGGTTTACCCTGTTTCGGAGGCTTGTTTGCTTAGAAGTCTGACTTTGAAAATACATAAGGAGTGGAGCCATCCTGCAAAGTCACATTCTTGAGTGACGCTCATGTAACTCATGTTTAGAAACCAGCATGTTAGTTTATTACTTACTCGTGAGGAATAGCCATCATCCAGACCAGAACATTCGCATTTGCAAGAGTAGTATATTGTTTTTCTGTGGATTGACTTCTAGTGGAACCTTGTTGTTGATTTGGTGATCATGGAATTCAAAGGGTGGCAGTTGATTAGATAAATTAAATGTTTAATTGCTTCAGGTTAGGAAATGATAGCCTGGGGTAGGCATTTGGCCTGATGGTTAAGTTGGGTTAAGATGCTACTTGGGATGCCCACATGCCATGTCCGAGTGCTTGGGTCTGAGGCCTGGCTCTGCTCCTGCTGATGCTTCCTATGGGCAGCGGCAGATGATGACTCAGATAGTTTTCCGTGCCACCCAAGTGGGAGACCTTACATAGGTTCCCAGCTCTTGGCTTTGGCCTGGCCCAGCCCCAGTTGTAGGCATCTGGGGTATGAAGCAGCAGATGAGATGGCCTGGCCCAGCCCCAGTTGTAGGCATTTGGGGTATGAACCAGCAGATGGGAGCTCTCAGTCTGTGTGTATGTGTGTGTGTGTGTGTGTGTGTGTTTGCCTCTCAAATAAAATAAATAAATAGTTAAAAAAGAAATGGTAGCCTAATGCAGCTCATCACAGTGATAGGAATGGTCCTGCTCACTGGACAAGAATTTGTTGTTTGAGGCTTCCTCTTCCCGACAAACGCTGGATTGTTCCTGCCACTATTAGTGACCAGCCATCACCCCTTCTGATGGGTGCATTGCTCCTAGTTAGAAACAGTGTGGTTAGAGAAGCATAGTCACCAGTCTGTCCTGTCCTCCATGCTTTGAAATGTTGATATTTCTTAATTTTAACTCTGGTAAAAGTCTTATTTCTAAACTCTTGGAGTCACCTATTTGTAAACCCCAGTTACTGACAAACATGTGTGTTTGAGAAAAAACTTTGATAACTGTTAGATTTCTACTAAAATATCTTTTCTGTCTAAGTGAAGTAATAGCTACTATGTGCCAGAATTTCCTAAGAAAGTCAGAAAGCTAGGTTTTTGTTTGTTTTTGTTTTTTTAGGATTTATTTATTTGAAAGAGTTAGAGAGAGGGAGAGTCTTACTGAGTCTTCAATCTGCTAGTTCACTACTCAAGTAGCTGCAACGGCCAGGGCTGAGTCAGGCTGAAGCCAGGAGCTTTTTCTGAGTCTCCCACATGGGTGGCAGGACCTCAAGCACCTGCTGCTGCTTTTCTCAAGCCATTAGCAGGGAGCTGGATTAGAAGTGGGGCAGCCAGGACATGAACTAGAGCCCATATGGACAGCTTCACCTGCTATGCCACAACATCATCCTCAGATGGCTGGGTCTTATCTGTACAGTGGGATATCTGTGTTAATAGGGTAAAAGGGCCTAGAACGTTGAATTTGTAAAGCCATCACCAGAAGGGATGATGGCTGGTCAGCAGCCTTAATTACAGGACTTTTAATAATGATTTAAAGTCTTTGCATAGTGTATGATTTCTTTTTCCAAGTCCTCCAATTGACTTTAATATGTTCCTAGGTGAGCTACATGGAAATTTACTGTGAGAGAGTACGAGATTTGCTGAATCCAAAAAACAAGGGTAATTTGCGTGTGCGTGAACACCCACTTCTTGGACCCTATGTAGAGGACCTGTCGAAGTTGGCAGTCACCTCCTACACAGACATTGCTGACCTCATGGATGCCGGGAACAAGGCAAGGTAAGGCAGGAAGTAAATTCATAACTGAGGTCTTTGGCACGTCCTGAGGCTTTTATTATTGGTTAAGGGTTTGAGGCCACATTTATAGCTAAGAGACTTTCTTTAGTTGTGGAATCCTCTGATCCTTTGGCTCTGCTAGAGAGCCAAGAGCTTTAGCATATTAAGTATCTTGCTTTTCATCAAAACAATGTACTGCCAAAACATGTTAGAACTTTGCTTAAGTTTTACTCTTAGGTCTTGATCGAATCGTGGTGAGATGTTAGTTCATGTCTGTGCGGCTATCATAGTAACTGGTTCTGGGACAAAGGAGCACCTAATAAATACTAACAGTTAAGTGCTTCCGTGGTTTCTAAAGGGATTGCTGGAGTTTGGAAAATGATTCCAATGGGAGTATCTGTAGAGTGCATGGTGACTTGATGGGCTCACAAATAAGGCAGTGCTGAGAGCAGTTGTGTCTGTGACAGTCTTGCACTCTGAGTAAGAGTAAGCCTGCTGGCGGTGATTGTTATGGTTGTAATATGGAGACTGCTGTCCATTTTAACTCTCATCTAAGAATTGCTTTGTCACATGGTCACCTTTATGTTTATTTAGGACAGTGGCAGCTACCAACATGAATGAAACAAGTAGCCGTTCCCATGCTGTGTTTACCATTGTTTTCACCCAGAAGAAGCAAGATTCTGAGACCAACCTTTCCACAGAGAAGGTAGGAAAACTACAGTCTCTGGGCTTGAATTGAGACGATGGGATTGTTTTTTTAAATAAATATTAATTTGAAAGGGAAAGAGAGAGAAATCTTTGATCCACTGGTTTACTCCCTAAATGGTCCAGGGCTGGGCCAAGTGGAAGCTGGGAGCTAGGAATTTCATCCCAGTCTCCCATGTGGATGGCAGGAACCCACGTACTACTGCTTGCCAAGTGCATTAGCAGGAATTTGGATGAGAAGCAACAGAGCTGAGACGCACACTGGCACTGCAGTATGGGGTGCAGGTGTTCCCAGCAGCAACTTAGCTGCTGCACCACAGCACCTGCGTGCCCCAGGGTGGAGATTTTGAGAAGTCCCTTCTGCTGCCGTCTGCATTGAATGGAAGGAGGCGAATTGCTCTTTTGTCCACTGGAAGCTGCTTTGTAGCCTGCGCTTACCAGTTTTATTCCGCTCTGTACACATTTTCAGTATGCGTTCTGAATTGAAGCTGCAAGGTAGAAAATACAGCTAAGAAAAAGGAGTCTCAGACCGTGAGTCTCACTTTGTGCAAGACAGTTAAACAGTTCTGTGGGGGAGAAAACCCTTCTCTTCTTCACTGGAGCTTTTAAATTGTTACCTTATTAGCTGCCTTTGGTACGGAGTTGCTCCTTTTTTTTTTTTTTTAAACTTTGAAAGTGTTGCTCTGAGATAAAATATTTAAGCAAACAGTCAGAATTTGCTGTATTCCAGGAAAATAATTGCACAACAGTTCTGATGTTTAAATATCTTTGCTTTTATTTTCTGATTTTCTTCCTCTTTTTTTTTTTTTTTTAAAGATTGATTTATTTGAAAGGCAGAAAGAGGAAGGGAGAAAATGAAAGAGATCTTCCATCTGCTGGTTCCCTCCCCAAATGACTGCAACAGCCAGGGCTGGGCCAGGCCAGAGCCAGGAGCCAGAAGCTTCTTCTGGGTCTCCCAAGTGGGTGGCAGGGGCCAAGCACTTGGGCCATCCTCTGCTGCTTTCCTAGGAACATTAGCAGGAAACTGGGTCAGAAGTGAGCAGCTGGGACTTGAACCAGCACCCATATGGAATGCTGGTGTTGCAGCTAGTGGGCTAATCTGCTTTAGCATAATGCCGATCCTTAGGCTACTTATTTTGAATCGTGGCCCTGCTAGTTTTTTTTAAAATTGTTTTCAGATTTATTTATTTATTTGAAAGAGTTACAGTGAGAGAGGAGAGGTCTTCCTTCCACTGGTTCATTTCCCAAATAACCACAATAGCCAGGGCTGAGCCAGGCTGAAGCCAGTAGCCAGGAGTTTCATCTGGGTCTCCCACATGGGTGCAGGGGCGCAAGCCATTGTGCCATCCTCCACTGCTTTCCCAGGCACATTAACATGGAGCTGGATTGGAAGTGGAGCAGCTGGTACTAGAATCTGCGCCCATATGGCATGCTGGTGTCAAAGGTGGCAGCTTTACCTGCTGTGCCACAATGCCAGCCCCAGCTCTGCTACTTTTCAACTGTTACCATGAGATTACTAGACTTCTTTGTGCCTCAGTTTCTCCATCTGTAATAACCTCACAGGATTGTGGCACAGCAGGTAAAACTGCTGCCTGCAGTGCCAGTATCCCATATGGGCACTGGTTCGAAACCCAGCTGTTCCACTTCCAGTCCAGCTCTCTGTTATGGCCTGGGAAAGCAGCAGAAGATGGCCCAAGTCCTTGGGCCCCTGCCACTGTGTGAGAGACCCAGAAGAAGCTCCTGGCTCCTGGCTTTGGATTAGCACAGCTCCAGATGTTACAGCCATTTGGGGAGTAAACCAGCAGATGGAAGATCTCTCTCTCTCTGCCTCTGCCTCTCTGTAACTCTGCCTTTCGAATAAATAAATAAATAAATAAATCTTTTTTAAAAAGAGAAGTGTTAGTATACTCTAAGTGCATATAATAGTGTCCGGTACCAAGTAACCACTCAGTAAATTTAATTTTATTATTACATTCTTAATGGCCGGCGCCGCGGCTCACTAGGCTAATCCTCCGCCTAGCGGCGCTGGCACACCGGGTTCTAGTCCCGGTCGGGGCGCCGGATTCTGTCCCGGTTGCCCCTCTTCCAGGCCAGCTCTCTGCTGTGGCCAGGGAGTGCAGTGGAGGATGGCCCAGGTGCTTGGGCCCTGCACCCCATGGGAGACCAGGAGAAGCACCTGGCTCCTGGCTCCTGCCATCGGATCAGCGGGGTGTGCCGGCCGCAGCGCGCTGGCCGGGGCGGCCATTGGAGGGTGAACCAATGGCAAAGGAAGACCTTTCTCTCTGTCTCTCTCTCTCACTGTCCACTCTGCCTGTCAAAAAAAAAAAATAAATAAAAAAAAATTACATTCTTAATGATAAAAATTATTTTATTTATTTATTTAAATTTATTTATTTGACAGAGTTAGGCAGTGAGAGAGAGAGACAGAGAGAAAGGTCTTCCTTCCATTGGTTCACCCCCTAAATGGCCGCTACGGCTGGAGCTATGCCAATCCGAAGCCAGGAGCCAGGTGCCCCCTCCTGGTCTCCCACATGGGTACAGGCACCCAAGCAGTTGGGCCATCCTCCACTGCCCTCCCGGGCCACAGCAGAGAGCTGGACTGGAAGAGGAGCAACCGGGACTAGAATCCGGCACCCATATGGGATTCCGGTGCCACAAGCGGAGGATTAGCCAAGTGAGCCAAGGCACCGGCTCAATGATAAAAATTTATATCACATTTCTTCTGCATACCTTACTAAGTGCATGCAACTAGGTTTTCACATCTGAGATTAGGTTTATTGTACTGGCAGTTACAGAAGATTCATTGCCTTATAGAGTGAGAATTTTATGATACCATTGTAACCAGAAACTAGAATCACTTTTTACTTGGTGAACTATTTGTTCATTTTTAGGAACTTGTTTTAAAAATGTGCTCCTTATATGGATGATCAAATAACTTGCTTATCCAGAGGTTATATGTGAATGTTATTTGGTAGTGAGTATTTTTCTGAATGGCACTAAGGAGCGTTCTATATGAAAGAATATTTTGCTCTTTTCCCGTAACGTCAGATCTACAAAATTGATGGTGTTAATCCCATAACCCTAGCTTTTTTCGTGATCCATTTTGAATACTTTTGTTTAAACTCTCCTAAAACTTTATTTTTAAACAACTTTATTGAGGTATATTGTGCAATAAACTAAACATAATTAAAATATAACATTTTGGACCAGTTGTGTTGTCTATGTACATGCACCTGTGAAACCAGCGCCACAGTCCAGTACTGAGAATGTCTCACTCCCAACAGTTGCCTCTTGGTCCTTTGTCATTTTTGTCTGTCTTGTCTTCCATCCCCACCAAAGAAAATTACTGATACGGTTTTTGTCACTACATATTATTTTTCGTTTTTTAGAATTTTATATAAATGGAATCATATAATATGTACTTTTTTTTTCCTCCTGGCTTCTTTCCTATACCAAAATGATTTTCTCTTTAAAGAGTTATTGGTTTATTTGAAAGGCAGAGTTAGAATGAGAGTGAGAGAGAGAGGTATCTTCCATCCAGTGGTTCGTGCCCCAGATGGCTGATGTTAGGAGCCAGGAGCTTCATCCATGTCTCCCGTGTGTGGTAGGGACTCAGGCACTCAGACCATCATCTGCGGCTTTCCCAGGCACATTAGCGAGAGCTGGATCAGAAGTGGAATGGCTGTGACTCGAACCAGTGCCCATATGGGATGCCAGTGTGCCACAATGCCAGCCCTACAAAATGATTTTGAAATTCATCTTCGTTGGGGCCGGCGCTGTGGCTCACTTGGTTAATCCTCCGCCTGCGGCGCCAGCATCCGATATGGGTGCCGGGTTCTAGTCCAGGTTGCTCCTCTTCCAGTCCAGCTCTCTGCTGTGGCCTGGGAGGGCAGTAGAGGATGGCCCAAGTGCTTGGGCCCTGTACCCACATGGGGGGACCAGGAAGAAGCTCCTGGCTCCTGGCTTTGTATTGGCGCAGCGCTGGCCATAGTGGCCATTTGGGGGTGAACCAACGGAAGGAAGACCTTTCTCGCTGTCTGTCTCTTTCTTTCTCTCTCACTGTCTATAACTCTACCTGTCAAATAAATTAATTAAAAAAAGAAAAAGAAATTCATCTATGCTGTGTATATCAATAGCTCATTCCTTTTCATTGATGCCAAATATTGCATTGGTAGATACTCTATAGTTTTTTAATTTATATGTTGATGAACATTTAAATTATTTCCAATTTTTGATTATTAGAAATGAAGCTACTATAAATATAAATATTTATGTACTGATATTTGTGTGGACATTTGAATTTGTTTCTCTTGGTAAATACCTAGGAGTGAGATAACTGAATCTCATGGTAGGTGTATATTTACCTTCTTAAGAAACTGCTGGGGCCAGCATTGTGGCATAGCAGGTAAAGCCGCTGCCTGTGATGCTGACATCCCATATGGACACTGGTTCAAGTCCTGGCTGCTCCACTTCTGATCTAGCTCCCTGCTAATGTGCCTGGGAAAGCAGCGGAAGGTAGCTGAAGTGCTTGGGCCTCTGCACTCATGTGGGAGACTCAGAAGAATTTCCTGGCTCCTGGTTTTGAACCAGCCCAGCTTGGGCCTTTGTGGCCATTTGGAGAGTGAACCAGAATATGGAAGATTTCTCTCTGTCCCTAACTCTGTCTGTCAAATAAATAAATAAATATTAAAAAAGAAAAGAAAAAAAGAAACTGCCAAACTGTTTTCCAAAGTGATTGTATCATTTTGCATTTCATCAGCAGTGTGTTAGAGGTCCAGTTGATCAAAACTTTGAAAGAGTGACTTCAAGGAGAGGGAGAGAGATCTTTCATCTGGTTCCATTCCCCATGTGCCCACAATAGCCAGGGCTGTGCCAGAATGCCTGCCCCTCAAAGCTTCATTTTCAGTATGCCATTTAATGGGTTGATGAGTTTTATATATTTTTATGATATTGTATAATAAATTGTGATTCTGTTATGTTTATGTTGAAGTTACTTGTTTTGAGTGAAGGTAATTGCTACGAGTCTTGTGAATGCTCTTTAAACTATAGTACGTTTAATCTTCTCCATTTCTTAGTCTTTTAAAAAAATTTCCTCTCTCAAAGTCTGCCTCTCCTGTGCATGTTTTTCACTTATCCCTGTTGTTGTTCTTCACCAGGTCAGTAAGATCAGCCTGGTAGACCTAGCAGGAAGTGAGCGTGCGGATTCAACTGGTGCCAAAGGAACTCGATTAAAGGTATTTATATTACCAGTCAGTAGCCTCGTCAGTGAATGTCCTGGAACATGGATCAGCAGGGATGGCCAGTGGTTCAGATCTAACCCACTGCCTGCCTGTGTATATAAAATTTTATTGAAACACAACTACATCCATCCATCTATTTACGTATTGCCTGTGGCTACTTTGATACCGCATTGACAGAGTTGTGACAGAGACTGTATAGCCCCCAGACATTTTTGTCTGGCCCTTTATGGAAAAAAATTTGAAAACTTCTGATCTGTAACTTCAGCAAAAAATATCTAATGTAACAGAATGGTTAGGAAGGACTTGATGGTCAAGGTGAGAGTTGAATTGCATTATGAGAAATAGGCAGGATTTGAGGGGATGGAAGTAAGAGATAGTAATGGGAACAGTCTGTCCAAAATCCATATGTGACAGCAGGCACAGACTTTGATGGAGGTACTGCTAAGCAAGAGCTGTGGGAAGAAGGCTGCATCCGAGAGGTTTTGAAGCACAAACATCATGAAGATGCGTTAGGACTGCGAGTTAGTGTATCACTCCAGCATGTTAGAGGTAGAGAGGAGGAAAGTTTGAGGACCAAAAGAGGAACTTGTCATAAATAAACAAATGTCAGCATCTTGCAAACTGTATTTTGTGTTCTGTATGATGTGGCAGTTGTAGGAATTCTTCATCATAATGCTTTCATGTTTGGTGTTTATTTTAGGAAGGAGCAAATATTAATAAGTCTCTTACAACTTTGGGCAAAGTCATTTCCGCTCTGGCAGAGGTGGTAAGTTGATACTTCATCATTAAGGGGAAATTTATTCAAGCAGATATACTTGATGATATTTTATGAAAGCTGTCCTTTTTCAGCCCTTTTATACAATCTTTCCTTTCTACTTTTAGTGCTTTTCAGATAAAACACTAAGCATAACACAGTTTAACCTTGTAACTGAAAGTAGAAGAGATTAAGGAGAATGAAAATAAAAATATAGTTGTTTAAAACTAGAGGAAAAACCCAAGGTTTGACTAATTAATTGAGCCTTACTTTAAAAAAAAAAAAAGATTTGCCTTTATTTGAAAGGCAGAGTGACAGAGGAAGGGAGGGAGGAGGTGAGGGGAAACACACACACGTGCACACACACACACACGCGCGCGCGCGCGCGCATACTTGAGCCATCACCTGCTGTTTTCCCAGGTGCATTAACAGCAGGCAGGGCTAGCGCAGAGTAGCCAGGACCTGAGCTGGTGTCCCCAAACTGCAGCTTGACCTGCTGTTCCCAGTGCCCTTCTGTACTGCATAGCTCACAAAAACCAACTGTATTTGTTACATGTTCTTTTCTTGTGCAGTCTTTTCTAAGTAGGATGTAGTACTCCTTGGAGTATTTTGAGCAGTTTGGCTGTGGTAAATGCTGTTAATTTGGGTGCCAGTAATATTTTAAAAATATAGTTGTGTGGCACTTGACGGCAGGATGTGTTTTGAGAAATGCATCACTGAGCTATTTCCTCATGTGGAAACGGCAGAGTGGACTTCTACAGCCAAGCTGGGTGTAGGTCTGTCAGCCGATGTCACACAGGCCTGAGCGGGAGGCAGCTGCCAGTAAAACCTGGCATCCTGTTTCAACTCTTTTTTTTTTTATAAATAGAGGGAGAATACTCTAAAATAACAGTAAAAATTATAGGAATTACAAATCAGAAATGCAGTCACTGATTATCAGGTGTCGTGTACTCTACGTAATTGTGCTGTGCAGAGCAGTAGGTTTGTTTACACAGGCATCACTGCAGGTGCCTGTGCAATGCGTTGTGCTAGGGCATTGTGATGGCTGCAGTGTCACTGGGCTGCAGGAAGTTGTCAGCTCCATTATGATCTTTTGGGATCCCCTTGTAAGTGTGATTCATCACATAGCCAGATATTATCGTCCAGTGCTTCACTGTAGTTTTATCCTGTCTTGTTTCTTCACAGTGGAATACTAAAGCTAGAACAGTTTTTCTGTAAGTGGCTTCATCACTTATAGAACTGAGGAAGCTCTAGTCACTGTATGTTCTAATTTAGTTTAATACCTTGTTTAATTTGCTGTAACAATTAAATCCTTTCTTGATTGTCTCTTGGAAGTCATAATCTGTGACTTAAAATTTAAGCACAACATTGCTTTTTAATTGGAGGCTTATTCTATGTTCTTGTTCTCTTTTAAATGCTTTCATCCGTAGGATAACTGCACCAGCAAGGTACAGTGGATATTGATAGACATGAACTTGCTGTTATGAATTGACTGTTATGATTTTAAATCCTGAGCAGGGTGTATGGATGCATAAATGCAAATGAAACTTTAAAAAGCCCGTGATTTGTTTTCTGGCTCTGGAATTTAGAATACCTGTTTATGGTGACCGTGAATGATGAGGCTTCACACACAACTAATTTAGGAAGATGATGTGCTTTGGAGAAGGAATTAAGAATAAAGGAACAAGAGAGAAATCTGAGGAAGCTTTACATGGTGTTACCATGTTTCTGCTAGTGACCTACAGGACTGTCCTTTGACAGTTCCATAAATCACGTGAAAGGGCAGTAAATTTGTTGAGGGCAGCATTCCAAAACAACTGTGATCATTATATATTTTATTAAACCCATTTTTATATCTTGTTTCCTAAGGTCATGGATAATTTAAAACATTGAATTTTTTTGGTCTGTTCTTTGGTTATACATGGACAAAGAGAAGAGTGTAGAATCAAGTTAAACTTTTGCCTGCATCTAGGAAACATAGTATTTGCATCCTCTTTTACCCAAATATTATAGATTTTTCTCCTCCTCATTTTCTTTCCTTATTTACCGATAATCTAAAATTTGTTAGTATTCTTTTGTACAAATAATATTTAGAACATGTAACTGTTGGGAATTACATGAGAAATTGGGGATACAGGCAGTGTTTATGTTAAAATATTTTATGTTCATATTTTCAAATTTTTTAAAATATTTATTTATTTTACTTGAAAGAGTTACACAGAGCGAGAAGGAGAAGCAGAGAGACAGAGAGAGAGGGAGGGAGAGAGAGAGAGAGGTCTTCCATCGCTGGTTCACTCCCCAATTGGCTGCAACGGCTAGAGCTGCGCCAATCTGAAGTCAGGAGCTTCCTCTGGTCTCCCATGTAGGTGCAGGGGCCCAAGGGCTTGAGCCATCTTCTGCTGCTTTCCCAGGCCATAGCAGAGAACTGGATCGGAAGTGGAGCAGCTGGGACTCGAACCAGCACCCATATGGGATGCTGGCACTGCAGGTGGCGGCTTTACCCGCTATGCTACAGCACTGGCCCCCATATTTTCAAATATTTATATTTGTTGTGTGTCTACAAAAATAATAAAAAGTAATGCCTTTTTTTCTGCTTTTGTTTGCTTATCAGAAAAGAGTACCTTAGACTCAGAAATCTACCTGCTATTTGGTATTATTTGCGGGTGAAGATCTATCTAATCTGAATATCTTATCTGGGTCCCAGAACCAAGAATATGAAAATTTAATTCCAACTTACCCTGTACATTTGCTCATCTTTTAACGTCCTTATCAACCAGAGGAAGATTTAGGATGTATTTATTTGTTTATGTGTCACATTGCTGTATGCCGCATTCATTTGCAAACGATTGTTGATAATCAGTTTTGTAAAACTTTGTATCCATGCTTGTTTGTATGTAACAGACATAATTTATGATGAATTAAGATGTTATTTCCACTGGAGAGAAAAACAGGCTTATTAGCCCCCACACTTAACAGTGGGTTGAACATCCCTAATTTGAAAATCTGAAATCCAGAATCCTAAGCTCTTTGAGCACTAACATGATGCCACAAGTAGAAAATTCCACACTGACCTCATGTTATAGATCACAGTTAAAATGCATGACACTAAAAATACTGTATAAAACTACAGGCTGTGTGTATAAGTTCTACGTGAAACATAAGTGAATTTGTGTTTAAGACTTGAGTCCCATCCCCAGGCCATCTCACAAAGTGTCTGCAAATATTCCAAAATCTGAGAAAAAATTGAAACCCAAAACACTTCTGATGCCAATCAAGCATTTTGAATAAGGGATATGTTATTTGTTTTTTATTTTTATTTATTTTTTTATTTATTTTGACAGGCAGAGTGGACAGTGAGAGAGAGAGACAAAGAGAAAGGTCTTCCTTTTCTGTTGGTTCACCCCCCAGTGGCTGCAGCCGGCGCACCGCACTGATCTGAAGCCAGGAGCCAGGTGCTTCTCCTGGTCTCCCATGCGGGTGCAGGACCCAAGGACTTGGGCCATCCTCCACTGCACTCGCGGGCCACAGCAGAGAGCTGGACAGGAAGAGGGGCAACCAGGACAGAATCCGGCGCCCCAACCGGGACTAGAACCCGGAGTGCTGGCGTCGCAGGCAGAGGATTAGCCTAGTGAGCCGTGGCGCCGGCTTGTTTTTTATTTTTTTAAAAATACTTATTTCTTTATTTGAAAGACAGAGTTACAGAGAGGGAAAGATCTTCCATCTGCTGGTTCACTCCTCAGATGGCCTCAGTGGCCAGGGCTGAACCCTGCCAAAACCAGGAGCTTCATCCAGGTCTCCCATGTGGGTGGCAGGGACCCAAACATTTGGGCCATCTTGCGCTGGTTTTTCAGGCCATGGCTAGGGAACTGGATATGAAGTGGAGCAGCCAGGACAGGAAATGGTGCCTGTGTGAAATGCTGGTGTTGCAAGTCACAGATTGATTTAATTTAGTCTAATTGACAAAAATGCAAATAGAACATTTTTAGCAAACCGTTCCTACTTATTTTTATACCATTTGTGGTCATTTAATTGACACACTTTAAATTTTACAGTATTTTCAGAATTAACAGTGGGCAGAGTAGGGTGTTCAGGTGTGTTCAGGAATTGTAAAAGGGTAAACTGAGGGCTTGGGCCTCAAGTGGAATAAAAGTTTGTCCCACTGATCTGTGAATGACTGAGAGGCTTAATTCTCTTTTGAGTTCTGTGCAATTTAAAATTGAACCCACTGTTAGAAATAATTTTGTAATTGGTAGAATGTGCACCTGTGAGTAGAGTTTGTTAGGGGGCATGGATGTTTTTGAAAAGAGATGCAATTAAAGTACCATGTGGGTACTTCCTTCCCTCCATAAACCAGAGGTCAGCCACTTACTACTTTTTTTCTGAATAGCTATACTGTTGCAAAAAGTGGACTGTCTTATGTTTAATGTCAAATTATACCAGGAATGGATTTTGAAAACTGCCCTTGGCTGGAACAGTGTTTATCAGTAAACCCTGGCCTTCTCTTCAGTAGCTTCTGTTTTGCTTCTTTTTAAAATTAGATTTATTTATTTTCATATGCTAGCTCCCATCCACTGGTGATACCTGCAACAGGCCGAAGCGGGGAGTCTCTATGTCAGTGTAGGTGTGCCCTACTCGACCCATCACATGGTGCCTCCAACTGTGCATTAGGAGGAAGCTGGAATCCGAATCCACAGCGGAGCAGGGACCCGAACCCCCCTAGGACTCCAGTATGTGCTGTGGACAACCCAGCAGGCGACTTGACTGCTAGCCAAATGCCTGTGTACACTTACAGTATTCTTGAAACATCACAACACATACACAGTCAGCAAGTACTTGAGTAGTTACTCCAGATATTTATGTTAATTTCTACTTTAGAGAATATAATTTCTTTCATTTTATCACTGCCCTTTTATTGGTGCTTTGTGAGAGGGTCATGGAGAGAGCATTACAAGGAGACCCTTAACATTTACTTATAGAAAATCCATCTTAGCATTTTTGCAAATCTCCAACATCAGCAAATGATATCACTTTCTTAGGCCTTTTCGCTTTTAGCCCTCAGTCTGATGGTTGACATAATTTTCTTTCAAAGAAACCAAATATGTATTACTTTATAAGAGTTGCTCCATATGCTATAACCTACATGATGATTCAATTTTGGCCAAGGAAATCTATTAATTTAAATGACTTGCTTCTGTATATCCAACCTGGATTGCAAGGATTCTTTTGCATGAAGCAGTTATTCTTAATTTGTTAAGTGTGATAATGGTCTTAACTTTTTTTTTGGAGTTTTTTTTAGAAGTCTTTCTCTGTTAGATATATGTATTTAAAGTATTTATACATGAAATGGTAGACTTGCTTTAAAATACTGACAGGTATAAAAGATATATGAATAGGGTATTAGATAATAGTGTTACATTGCTTTGGCTTTTCCTAAATTTGGTCATGGTACTCTGCGTTAGAGAATATCCTTATCCATTGAGGTGTTTAGGGGGTAAATAGATGTATTTGGGGAATAATTGAAAGGTGATTGGCAAAAACTGATAACAGCTGAGGCTGCTTGATGGGCTTATACCCAGCTCAATGTACTAGTCTCTTTTTTTAATTTCATTTAAGTTATACGAGCTTCATGTATTTCATACATACAGATTTAGGAACATAGTGATTCTTCCACCCTACCCTCTCCCACCCATGCTCCCACAGTTCTTCCTCTTCCCTCTCCTATTCCCACTTGACTTTTGCATGTGTTATGCATTTTTCAAAAGAAAATGTTAAAAGAAAAATCATTGCATGGGCTTTAGTTGTTATGAAGGATTGAAACTAATGATAAATGTCCACAGTGATGGGGTTCTGTTGTAATTTTAGACTGGTTTTCCTGTGAATTCCACCGCCACCCCCATCCCAACAGCACTAAGGCCATTCTTTTCTTTTTAACAGAGTAAAAAGAAGAAGAAAACTGATTTTATTCCCTACAGAGATTCTGTACTTACTTGGCTTCTCCGAGAAAATCTAGGTTTGTTGACCACTGGTGAAAATTCACTTTGTAGTTGTCTTTTTAAAGCTATTTATGGGTTATCTTTTGTAGTTGTCTGGTGTCTGTTTTGGAGAAGAATAATCTCTAGTTGTTTTGATATTACTAACTTGAGGTATCCCATAATTGTTTCCATTTTTCCCTCTGATTTCAATTGGTTGGATTTGCTTTTTTTTTTTTTTTTTTAAGATGGCTTGATTTATTTGAAAGGCAGCGTTACAGAGAGGCAGAGAGAGAGAGAGAGAGAGAGAAGTCTTTCATCTGCTGGTTCATTCCCCAAATGGCCGCAACTGGCCAGATCCAGACCAAACCAAAGGCAGAGGCCAGGAACTTCTGTGTCTTCCTGTGTGTGCAGGGGCCCAAGTACTTGAGCCATCTTTCACTGCTTTCCCAGGCTCAGCAGCAGGGAAAGAGCAGCAGGACTGAAGCTGGTGCCCATGTGGAATGCTGGTGCTGCAGGTGGCAGCTGAGTCCACTTACCAAAGTGCCAGCCCCCGATTTGCTCACTTTTAAATATTGCATTTACTTTGGGGCATGAACCGTGGAACAGTTGTCTTCGTGACTTCTCATACCTGGTGCCAACTGTTGCTCCTTTGAAGTGTTTTCATAAACTCATGCTTATCTGAGGCGCACATAATCAGATGTTAGTCATGCGTTTGGACTTCATGTCCTTGTGCCTTTGTTCACTGTTGCGTGGCAGGGAAGCAGTGATAGCTGTATCGGATGCTGGTGACAGAGGAACATGCTGAGAATGGACTTCCGGGCTTATCCCCGGGCCAGTTGATTTTCACGTTGCTAAGGGCAGTTTTGGTGGCGTGTCTGAACTCTAGACTGGAGTGAGTTCAAGAGTGAGGGGGAGGACCTGAATGGAACCCAATTTGAGAATAACTGCCTTGCTTGGGGCCATTCAAGAAAACTGTTTAACTTTTGATTAAATCTTAGGATCTGAGATTATGCCATCAGATTTGACACACTCAGTCAAATTCTTGTTCTAAAATGAGTGATCTGGGATGTTTGTGCTTCGTCTTAGGTGGCAATTCTCGGACTGCGATGGTTGCTGCGCTGAGCCCTGCAGATATCAATTATGATGAAACTTTGAGCACTCTGAGGTACTCTCGTCTGATCTCATAGCTGAGTAGAACACACTGCCGTCATACATCCTTTTGTTAGACCAAACTGTTCGCTGTGTATATTTGTTTACATAAATAATAACCCCTCCTTACAACAGGTAATGCATGGAGAGAAAGTATTTTTATTATAGTGGAGTTTATATATTTATGGTTTGTGGTTTTTCATTGGGAAAGACAGGAACTTTTTCATTGGGAAGAAGTTAGAATTACTCAAGTGAGATGTTTGGATAACTTAGATAATGGTGGACTTTTATAATATTCATTTCTATAAAAGTTTAGGGTTTTTGTCACTGTAGAAATATATAGAAATGTTGTTAAAAGTTGTTAAAAGAAGTACATAATTATATATACCATAAAAAAAAAAGATTTACTTATTTGAAAGGCAGAGTTACAGAGAAGCACAGGTTGGCCGGCGCCGCAGTTCACTAGGCTAATCCTCCACCTAGCGGCGCCGGCACACTGGGTTCTAGTCCCGGTCGGGGCGCTGGATTCTGTTAATGCCCTAGCCTGGAGTGCCAGCATCTGTATGGGTGTTGGTTTGAGACCCAGCTGCTCCACTTCTGATCCAGCTCTCTGCTATGGCCTGGGAAAGCAGTAGAGGGTGGCCCAAGTCCTTGAGCCCCTCCACCCACGTGGGAGACCCAGGAGAAGCTTTTGGCTCCTTGCTTTGAATCAATGCAGCTCCAGCCGTTGCGGCCAGTTGGAGAGTGAACCAGCAGATGGAAGACTCCTCTCTCTTTCTGCCTCTTCTTTTTTATTTTATTTTATTTATTTATTTTTTATTTTTTGACAGGCAGAGTGGACAGTGAGAGAGAGAGACAGAAAGAAAGGTCTTCCTTTGCCGTTGGTTCACCCTCCAATGGCCGCCGTGGCCGGCGCACCGCGCTGACCCAATGGCAG